GTAAGTGACTCTCTCTCACACAGCCCTGCTTTCTGCTGTCATGCTGGGTCGAGGGAAGCAGATGGGAGCCCTGGAGCTCACCTCTGCTCCCAGATGATTCCACCTAGGCACAGCACTCTCTGAGGCAGGGAAGAGAAATCTAGGGAGCCTGGAGGGAGGCATTGTGAGGGCTCAACCTACCCCATGAGGTCCCGTTTAGAACGTTTTAAAAGGACTCTGTTGACCTCACACCACAGCCTCTGGAACTAGTTTCAGACGGTCCTTGAGGCTGGACAGTCCAGTGGCAGCATGGCAGGGAGGGTGCTGAGTGGGGCCAAGGTGGTGCACAGCCTGCAGAGAAGCACGGGCTGGGCTCCGGGCTCCCACTGGGCTTGGTTTCTGAAATCCTAGTTCCCAACTGGGGTCTTGCACATCATAAATTACGCGGCACTCGCTCGATACCGATCACGCAGATGTGGTTGTGGGAAGGAGGACAGGGAAAGTCATTCTCCAGACCTCCAAGGAAGCAGAGTGCCCGGGTGATCAGAGCCAGCCGGGCTCTGTGCTGGCAGGGGGGATAAGTGGAGGTCTGACTTTGGAGAATGAATAAAAACCCCATTGAGCTTGAGAGACATCTGGTGCTGTGTGTGTGTGTGTGTGTGTGTGTGTGTGTGTGTGTTTGAGATATGGTGTCTGGCCTTGCTGTGGTGCTAGGAATAGCCCCTGAGGTCAGACCTGTTCCATGCTAAAGGGGAAAACTGCCTATGAATGAAGGAAAGGAATGTGTGATTGAACAGGTCACAGAGACAGACACAGGGCGATTGTGAGGTCTGGCCACGGGCTTTATTTATTTACTTATTTTTGGCTTCTTTTTGGCTCACACCTAGCGATGCTCAGGGGTTACTCCTGACTTTGCACTCAGGAAACACTCCTGGCGGTGCTCAGAGGACCATATGGGACTCTGGGAATCGAACCCGGGTCAGCCGCATGCAAGGCAAACATCCTACCTGCTGTGCTATTATTGCTCCAGCCCCGGGCCATGGGCTATAAACTGCAGAGCAGTGCTCCAGCCTGGCTGGGCTTGGTGCTTTCTAGATCAGATTGTCTTCGGGGTTCTGGAACAAACACCAAATCTCTGAGCACAAATGAAACTCATGACAACCCCTGCATGCTGCTCATACTCTTCCATCGGGGGCACAGGGAGCAGGGCCAGCAGCCGACAGTCCTCAGAGACACGGTCCTTTCCCACCCGCCCAGCACACAGGCCCTCGAGGCACAGCCACAGGGTTATACTTTTGAGGCTGTGTTTCTGTAGCTGGCCTTCAGATATGCCTGCAGAATGCCATCTGTTCCCACAACGAAGTGAGACGCTCATGTCTACTCCGAAGAAGTCCTGAAGACTCCAATACATTCAAGCAAACACCTAAAAGGATTGGCAATAAAGTGGCCCACGGCCCGTGGCATATGCAAAGACACAGCCTGTGGGTCTGTCCCACACCCCAAGGCTTTTATTTCTTCATGGCTTTCATTTTCCCAACTTTTTTTTTAAACCCATGTTAAGAATCACTAAGAATACGCCCTCATGCTCAGAATCACCAAGGAAAGACCACCTGGGTGACACCGGGGTTAGGCCCTTCCTGAAAGGGGAATGACAAATGACAAATGACCTGGCACCCGAGCTGCGCAGGAGGAAGAGAGCGGCTTGGAACGCCTTCAAGAACGTCGAAGAAATAGCTAAGAAGACGAAGAACCTCCGGCTCCGGGCACATCTCTTTGATTCCACTGTTCTTCCTGCATTAACATATGCCTCAGAGACCTGGGCCCTACGCAAACAAGATGAGAACGCTATTCAGGTCTCCCAAAGAAGAATAGAAAGAGCTATGCTTGGAATATCACATTTCACTCAAATGAGAGAACGAATCCGGAGTTCTGACATCCGTCGACGATCAAGGATCAGGGACGCTGTCTCATTTGCCAAGGTGTCAAAAATCAGATGGGCTGGTCACGTAATGAGATTTAAAGACGACCGTTGGACTAGAGCTGTTACTGATTGGATTCCACGGGATGTCAAAAGACCGCGTGGCCGCCCACCTACCAGATGGTCAGACTTCTTCGTCAAGATCATGAACGATCGGTTTGAGGCCATTCCTGTTCCCGGAGCGAACAGATGCCATTGGGCTACACTAGCACTTGACAGGGACAAATGGAGACGTTACTGGCGCCCGCTCGAGCAAATCGACGACTAACGGGAAGTTAAGTGATTAAGTGATAAGTGATACATTCCAAGGTTTTGTGGACAAATTTCATGTGACCTCATCATTGTGGTTCTGACACTAAGGGGGGCTCCCTAACTGTGCTCTGGTTTGGGCAGTGGCTCAGGCAGACGTAGGAACCCTTGCGGTGCTCACGGTGTGGGGAGGTTTGCACCCAGGCACTGCCTGGGTCAAGATCTGTCATGGTTCCCTGTTCTCCCCTGGACAAGCAGGAGAATGTTACCCGCCACCTACCTAGGTTTCTTGGAGAATGGCTTGAGATTAATTCAGTGAACATTCTTGGCAGGGAACCTTGCTGAGATCCCCGCACAGTATTAACCCTGACACCGGCAGCCGGGTCATCACCATCACTGTGAGGATTTCCAGATATTCACCCCAGTGCAAGGAAACACAGGATCCCCACACTCCTTCCCTAGTCCCATCAGCAAACCCCCCTCCCGGGACAGCCAGAAATGCAGCTTCCCATTTGGACCTTGCTGCCAACAAGAGTCACTGTGTTGGCTTTGTCATTTAGCCTGGACTATGAACAAGGAAAAGGATGCTGAGAGATCTGAGTCAGTGTGGTGGGGGAGAATACAGAAATTTCTTTTTTTATTTTTCTTTTGGTTTTTGGGCCATAGCCAGCCTTGCTCAGGGCTGACTCCAGGCTCTGTACTCAGAAATCACTCCTGGCGCTGCTCGGGGGACCCGGTGGGAAGCCTGTGTAAGGCAAGTGCCCTCCCCGATTAGTCCTGCCCTGGGTACAGCAATTTCTGCCTGTCCCTGTCACCATCAGTGGTGAGTTCTATCGGACTCAGCCCTGAGAGATTCCAGTTCCCTCCACTTTGCATTCAGGGTTCTGAAAACGTCGCTTCAAGTCCCCCAGGAACTGATGAGTTCCTGGATGTCTTAGCAGATTCCTTGCTTACAAGGAAAACTGTGCAGGCTTGGAACTGCCTTGACCTTGCAGGCAAGCACTGGTGTGGTTCTGTCGCCCTCTACTGCCTAGTATCAGTACTATCACAGCTCTTGAAAATGTCGAAGTTTCTTTCGCCCCAAAATGCAGTGCTTAGGACTTACTTTTGGCTCTGTGCTCAGGGGTCGCTCCTGCCGGTGCCCTGGGGGCCATACACATTTCTGGGTGGGGATCCAACACTGTTTTCAAGGCAAGGCAAGCACCCTTCCCACGGGACTACCTCTCCAGCCCCAAGGTCTCCTCATTTTAAACACAAAGATGCCGGCAGTACCTGCCTCCTAAGAGAGAGGGAGGGTTAAGTGTGATCAAACTTGTCGAAGGATTTGACACACTGCCTGTCAGAGCTTGAAAATGGGTATTTATCACAGCACCATCATCAGCATCCCCATGACCATCATCACCACCATCACTACTGCCGCCCCCCCCACCCCAACCTGTCTTTGGAATCCCTTAGGTCGAGTGGCGCTCACTGACAGAGGCAGGTGCTTCTCCCCAGGCCCCTGGGGCCTCTGCGTGTGGCCATTGAGCAGGCCAGCACGGGGGTGTTGTGCCCAGGATGGATCCAGCCAACCCTGCCCGATCCCACCTCTTCCCCTGGCCGGGTGCCTGGGGCAAGGCCAGGGAACACACCCCGTCTGCTCCTGCCTGGCGCCCCTTTTCGAGTGGAGGGACCCCGACTTTGGCAGCCGGATTAACAACCAGAACAGTCACGAAGCAGGAGAACAAGCCCCCGCACTGCGAAGCCTGCAGCCCCCTCCGAGGACCTGCTCCCCCCGCCCCCCCCCCCCCCAACCTCCCGATGCACGAGAGAAGGAGCAGGGTTATTCCTGGCCTCATTCGCCACACAGATGGAAATGTTCCTGAGCAAAGTGTGCGCCGATGAAATATTTATGAATCAAACCACATCCTAAAGGTACTTAGGGAGTTTGCCGGGCCAAAGCCTCCAACTCTGTCGCGGGTTATAAAGAACAGGCCCCTCCTTCCGTGCAATCCCTCTGCCCGCTTGCTTTGGGGGTGTGTGTGTGGGGGGCGGGGGAAGCCAGCTTCCCTTCTCTGGCTGGATGTAATGGTACTTAGTGGTCATGGCATAACAATTAAACCAGCTTTCCCATTGTCCAGGAGACAGGCTGGTTGCCACAGATCAGAAAGGGGCAGGTTTGGGCCAGAGTGATAGTCCAGCGGGTAGGGCATTTGCCTTGCACATCGCAGACCTGGGTTCGAGCCTCGGCATCCCATATGGTTCCCTGAGCACTACCAGGAATGACTCTTGAGTGCAGAGCCAGGGGTAACCCCTGAGCATCACTGGGTGTGGCAAGAAAGAAAGAAAGAAAGAAAGAAAGAAAGAAAGAAAGAAAGAGAGAGAGAGAGAGAGAGGGAGGGAGGGAGGGAGGGAGGAAGGAAGGAAGGAAGGGGCAGATTTGAGGGGGCTGGGGGGAATCACTCACCCCATGCAGGGGCCTTCATCAAGGTGGGATGGGACCATAGTGCTCCCAGTCCCTTCTCCCCACTTGCTCCTTATCTTCTTTCTCCCTCAAGGTTTCTCTAGGTTAAAATTTTCTTTTGTTAATAGGATGTAGTTTATACAGTGTATCAAATATTCCCAGACACCTTATTCTGCCCCCAAAGGTGAGCGGACACACATTCTAAATACCCTTTTCTATCTATCTAGATGTGTGTGGATGTATGCGCACGCACTCCAAACCACTGGAATCTTTTTTCCCACAAACTTCCCCCACCCCTTTCCTACCCCCCTCCTACGTCTTTAATGTTTTCTGGAGCCCAACTTGTGGCTA